ATTCCCCAACTAGTGGGATTGGGGATTTCTAACGAGCCTCAAGAGGTTTCTGTCTCTGAACCTATTCCCTTCCACTTAGGCCCTTTGAGAGGTGCATACCCCTTTCTCCTTAGTTCCTTGGCCCCCAACTCATTTATTAGGCTGAGACTTCTTAATGAAGTGTCATGCTAGAATTTCTTTTTCCCAAAAAGGGGAAATAATTCTAGAATTTGACAACAGTTATCAAAGTAATGAACCAGGTGAATGAAATGGTCCTTTGACATCTTTTATTTGGTTTGCCTCTGACAGTACTAGAGCTAATACTGATCTGGAAATATTGATCACTGGTCCCTAGTTACCACCCCCCTTATGGGTAAAATCTCCAGTTGATACCGGCAAAACTCACAGCACACATCCCAAGATTCAAATAGATCCCTCAAAAACCACTTAACCAGACTTAATTAATATTCTATAAGAAAAGAAAGCCCTGAAAGGCATAAAGACCATAAAAGAACATTACAAGGCTCAAGGGCTCACTAACCCTTACACCAGTCAGGTGAACAAAACCTAAGGGCAGAGGGTAGAGGTTCCTCCAGGATCTCTGAGCAGTAAACAACATTGTTATCCCTTGACACTGTTGTTCTTAATACCATAATTACTAACATCCATTCCAATTGATGAGGCTGACCAATATCTTTCTGCCCTCACTTAGGAAGAAAAGCAATTCACCTGAACAGTAATGACCCAGGGTTTTGCTGAGAATCCTTATTTCTTACAAATACTAAAGGCTGATCTGGATTATGTAAGGTTCCCTAGAGGTTCTACTTTGTTGTAATATGTGCTTCATTTGCTTCTTTGCTCTCCTTCTCAAGCCTCCTCACAAAAAGACAGTATCCACTTGCCAAAGCTTTTAGGAACATAAGGTCATCAAAGAAAAATTAGAGTTTACCCAAACCCAGGTTTGATATTCAGGGCATCTGATATCAGCACAAAAGCTTTAAGGAGATCCAGATACACTTCATAATATCCTAAGCTTCCCCAAACCCAAGACTACCCTGCTATATGCTAAGTCTTCTTGGGCTGGTTGGTTATTTCCAAAGCTGAATTTCAAATTTCTCTCTTATGGCCAAACCTATGTATGCTTTATTAAACAGTAACAATCATGACTCAAACTTAAGGAAAGAACTGAACAACACAGCCTTTAAAGCCTTAAAGTTGCGTCTCATGAACCCATCTGCCTTTGAGAATCCCAATTATCAGATTCTCTTTTTTTCTTTCCTTTTTATATATGAAAAGGAAGAAAATGCCCTTGGGGTACTCACCCAAAACCATGGGTCCACCATCAACCCACACTGCATTACAGCCAGGAACTGGACTCTGTGGCATAGGGATACCCTGCTTGCCTCAAAGCCATTATGGCTACTGCTCTTTTGGTTAAGGCCACCAAGAAAATCACGGGATCCCCTTTAACCATTTTTGTACACCATGCAGTAGAAGCCCTCCTGAATTCTCATCACACTTAATATTTCTCAGCCAGGTGCTTTACATCCTAGGAAGTAAGTCCTTTCATTAACTCCTCCTCACATAACTCCTTTATGCTGGATCTGCTCCTCTTCTCCCCTCTGTCACCAAAGAAGCCCCTAACTGACCACCAAAGAGGACACTGACTGCCCACCTCCAGACTCATACTGGTTTACAGGAAAGACCTCCTGGTAACACTGACTTCTCAAGGTCCACTGACATTCTTATTTAAGAGGTAGCGACGGTAAAGACGCTAGGTATGCTTTGCTACTCCTTTTGATGTTGAGGCAGCACCTTTACCTTTGGCGACTTTGGCCAAACAGGCGGAATTATACACTCTCATGTGGGCTTGTACTTAAGCCAAGGGCAAAGCTTTGTACAAAGCCAATATTTATACTGATGGTATATACTTTTATAATATTATACACAAATATAATAGTTTTACACTACACAGCAGCTTATGATTTTGGAATACTGTGAAGCAATGTGACTTCCTTACTTCCTGCTGAAATAAAATTTTAAGTGACCCTTATATTTACTGGATGTAATATTTTTATCTGCCACTTTAGGTATTACTAATATTCTGGGACATTCTACACTTGACTCTCTGGAAACTAAGGGAAATAACTTTGATGACATTTCTGCAGGGAATGTTGCCAATACCAAGGGGCCAATAGCAAGCTGTTGGTCCAAAGAGAAATTTTCCCAAATGATAACTTAAAAAAACAGACTAAAGAAGCCTAACAACTGGCTTCAGAAAAGGAAAAACAAGATTGGAAATTTAAAAATTGTTGGTTTGATAAAAGAGGAAGCTCTCGTTTAGACTATCAACCCAGTCCTCCTGGACACTCTAAAATCCCCATACTTCAGCACTGTACATGTATTAAACCACCAGTCTACTGACAAAATTATAGCATTCATCAATCAATACTGATGTGCAAATATTAACAAGGCCATCAAAAATATCTACCTCACTTGTCCAACTTGTCTGAAATACAACCCAAGAAAGCTTGTTTATAATGTTCCCAGACAATTTAAACAGCCCAATGAACCATTCACAAGGTCTCAAAACTTGCTCTGGCTCATGGATACAAATACGTTTTAGTAATGGTCTGTGTGTTTTCACATACAGACAGGCATCCCTGGCAGACATGCTACTGCTTCTTCTGTGGTTAAAGTCCTTTTAGAAAAGATTATCCCTCTCAGGGGAATTCCTCTCAAATTTAATGGCGATCAAGGAACACTTCTTATTGGTCAGGTACTTCAACAAGTCTGTGCTATTTGGACAATTTTCAACACTTTCACTGTGCTTACCACCCTTAATCCCCGTTTAGTTGAATGCACTAATGGCATTATTATTACTCAGTTGACAAAATTAGTAAAGGCACTCCAAAAATTTTGGCCAAAATGCCTTGGCCAAAAGCACTGTCATTGATCATTCTGAATCTCAGATCCACCCCTTTCAGAACTCATAAGCTCTCGCACTTGAAGACAGTCACAGGATGCTCTTGCTTCTTTTGACTCACAACTGGTAAAAGGAGAGATACTCCAATATAGCAAAAGCCTAAATGCTATTAAAAATAACTTTTTTAGTAGAGCAATATTTTCACAGTGTACTCTTGGGGGAAGATGACCTAAAATAAACCTGATAAACTGGATATTTTGTCTATTGGAAAGAAACACCTCCAGCAGAACTCTCTTCAACCTCACTGGAAAGGCCCCTATCATGTACTGCGAACCAGCCTTTGTGCCACCAAACCCCAAGAAGGAGACTCTTGGATTCACATGACACATATAGAAAATGTACCAAACCCTGACTAGATTTGCACATTATCTGATGACCTGAAAGAAAAGATTTCCCAGAATTGAGGCAGATGACATCTGATGAGACAGCTTTCTGAAGATATCCAGACCAGGCCTGTTGGCAGCTTGTCTGTCACACCTTTGATGACGACAGAACACTTCAATACCCTCCAATCTCTATGATTTTGGTAACATACAAACTTTAGATTAAAAGTGCCTGAAAATTCTTCCTCCTACCTCTCCTTGATACTTGAATGTGACTTCAATAGGTTTCCAATCTGTGTACTTTCACTCCAATGTGAGATGCCACACCCAGCAAAGGTCCCTCCTGGCACTAAAGGACAAAAAGTCACTGAAAACCTGACTCTTGATTAGCAATGCTTTCAGAGAAAAATCTTGACCAAAATGGGAAATGGGGAAATATAAAAAATTAAATAGAGTTGGGAGACCAGAAAGTACAGTTCTTATGCCCTGAGATAACAGCAGAGCGCAACAGGAAGAAGAAAGAGTCCTCTTCCTGCCTGGCAAAGACTCAGCCGATGAAAATCCATGAAATTTGTTTACTATGGGCTAAAAAGCATCCTCTTTCCTCTGCTGTGCAGGAACTTGTGCCCATGGCTGAAGACTCCAAAATACAATTCTTGGCTGATCCCAAATAAACTCATCTTTGCTGGAGAAATATCTGGAAATCTACTTGCTTTAGGTCAATAATATGTTTAGAGAGTAGAGCAGAGAATATTAGGGCTCAAAATTCACATAAAATGTATAGTTAAGTTTTTATGGTCAATATATGTGAGTTAGAATACATTTTGTTTTCATTTATTAAGCTTGACTCCATAAGTAAGCAGAAGAGTTAAGCCTATAGTGATTAGACCCTGCTTTCTAGCTGGAAGAAAGGATACTGTTTCTCACTAGAGAGGAGGCAGGAGTGAGGGCAGAACTATAAAAAACCTGATTCTCTGGGATAGTGGCTGAAATTTCAATCAATCCAGTGCATGCTATTCTAAAAGCAATCCTATTTCTTTGGCTCTCCCTGAGACTAAACAGATGGAGACCCACAGAGCTTAGCCACAGGACTACAAGGATCATGAAAATGATCATTTAAAGCCACTCTTCTCCTAAAAGGAAGAATACCTGATCTTTTTGTCCCAGAGTTATCTTTTTTTCCCCTCCTTTCTTTTGAAATTCATCTAATAATCTCATTTTCCTAGAGTACCCAGTATCAAAGAATACTTAAGTCAGCCAAACCATTCTAATGAATTAGCAAAAACTGAAAGAGGATAGAAAAGATTTATAAATACTGCAAGCAAATACAGAAGTAATTCTGCAACAGGCTGTTAAGAACTACTCATTAATTGTTTCTCTCTTAATATTTACCAAGAGAAAAGTAGTGACAGGCAGCCTGAGAATGATCAAAAACCCAGAGTTTCAAAAGGGAGGTACCAAATTATGTCCAGAGTCAAGTGGTCTCCACCTATTTTTAGTCTGAAAATTTCTAAATTAAATAGCTCTGTTTTCTACATTGCAAGTGCTATATTACAAAGCCAAACAACCAAATCAAACAAAATAACAAATCTTGAGAAACAATATAAAAAGCATTTTTGGTTTTTCACTGATATATATAGCATATAATTATCCTAACTAGAACACTTGATGGAGAAAATAAACAACCAAATAATGAATATTTTAAAAATCACCTTGGATGAAATGATAGACTCTTCCTGATCATCATTTTTGCACTTTTTTCCTGTGTCTTGCTCTGCTGATGTACTTTCTGAACTTCCTGATGAAATTAATCGCTTTTTTCCTTGCTGTGTTATGTTTACTTGGGTTTTTTCTTTGCAGACTCTTTCTTTTTCACTTTCTCGGGTTACATTATTATCTTAATCATACACAAGCACATAAACACAAGGAAAAAGAAGACGAAAATTATCTCCTGTACCTTCAAATGTCAATAATCCATACCCCCCAAAAAAAGAAATGAAAACAAAAATAAAAATGATAAAAGAGCAAACACTAAAGTTCTATCTATATTAAGGCCAATCTGAAAATGCATATTTCCAAATCTCAAGAAGTATTAAGCAACACCATGGCCAAGAACTCCAGCCCTGCAGATATCCAGGCCAAGATGCTAATGTGGGCAAGCACCATCCTTTAACTGTTTAACCTTACCTCTCTGAACTTTGGTCTCATCATTTAGAAAAGGGGAATTATAAAAACTCATGGAGTTATTAGGAGGAGTAAATCAGATAAGACACATAAATTATCAGAGTATCACATGTATATTAGTTATCATATGGATAGTTTCTTAATTTTAGCAATGAATTTTTATAACAGAAAATCTGACCTATAGCAATCAATGAATTTTACACATACTTACTGAGCCCCTACCACCCATATTGAGAAATGCACCTTAAATTACCTTAAAGACAGATTAAAAACCTAAAATAACTGAAAAGGGAAAGCAACCTCTACAAACTTAACTAATAAAAGAAAATAAATCTCCAATAACAATGGACACTGCATTGTCATAACCCTTATTCAAGGTTCAGTGTAGTGGAGAAACTTAAGTCAGTATCATATTTTGTTAAAAAATTCATGAACTATCTAATCAGAAAAGAAAAAAGATCTAAAGAGGGAAATCTTCATGGTTAGTTGTCTTTCTTCTCTAATTTATGAGGGCAGAGGCTTCCTGTGCCTTCTTCACTATTCCCTACTTCGTGTCTCCAGAATCTAGACCTGCAGCTAACACAAAGTTCAGTTCAGTTCAGTTCAGTTGCTCAGTCGTGTCCGACTCTTGGCGACCCCATGAACTGCAGCAAACCAGGCCTGCCTGTCTATCACCAACTACCAGAGTCCACCCAAACCCATGTCCATTGAGTCGGTGATGCCATCCAACCATCTCATCCTCTGTCATCCCCTTCTCCTCCTGCCCTCAATCTTTCCCAGCATCAGGGTCTTTTGCAATTAGTCAGTTCTTCTCATCAAGTGGCCAAAGTATTGGAGTTTCAGCTTCAACATCAGTCCTTGCAATGAACACCCAGGACTGATCTCCTTTAGGATGGAATGGTTGGATCTCCTTGCAGTCCAAAAGACTCTCAAGTCTTCTCCAACACCACAGTTCAAAAGCATCAATTCTTCGGTGCTCAGCTTTCTTTATAGTCCAACTCTCACATCCATACATGACCACTGGAAAAACCATAGCCTGGACTAGACGGACCTTTGTTGACCAAGTGATGTCTCTGCTTTTTAATATGCTGTCTATGTTGGTCATAACTTTCCTTCCAAGGAGCAAGCGTCTTTTAATTTCATGGCTGCAATCACCATCTGCAGTGATGGGACCAGATGCCATGATCTTAGTTTTCTGAATGTTGAGCTTTAAACCAACTTTTTCACTCTCCTCTTTCACTTTTATCAAGAGGCCTTTTAGTTCTTCTTCACTTTCTGCCATAAGGATGGTGTCATCTGCAAATCTGAGGTCATTGATATTTCTCCCGGAAATCTTGATTCCAGCTTGTGCTTCATCCAGCCCAGCGTTTCTCATGATATACTCTGCATATACTGGCACTCAATGAATATGTATGAGTAATTAAACTGTGAGCATAAACAGAAAATTGTCCAAAGATCCCTTGAGAGCCTGGATACAGGTATGTAAGGCAATCTGTAGTCACTATTCTAATGTTCTAAAGCAAGGGTTAGCAAACTTCTGTAAAAAGCCAAAGAATAAATATTTTAAGCACTATGGGCTGTATATTTGTCACAACTACCCAATTCTGCCTTTTTAGTGTGAAAGCAACAACAGACAATACATACATGGATGAGAGTTTGCTATGTTCCAAAAAAATTTTTTTACAGAAACAGGCAGTGGGCTGAATTTGGCTCATAGGCTATAGTTTGCTCAAAGCTGTTCTAAAGGATATTGAAATGACCTGAAATTGATAATAAAAATTGATAATATGGACTAATAGAATATTATCCATATTATTAAATAGGAAAATCACTGAACCAATATAAAAGCAATATATTTATCAAAAGAAACATATATAAACTAATAAATAAACTTGGCCTCAATTACTTACATCTTTGTTTTAAATCTAAATTAGGAAACATTTCCTATCATTTTAGAAACTGTCAGAAATAAAGCTAAATGGAACTGACTATATAGTTTGATGACACAACAGATGTGAATTGTCAAACCAAGGGAAATAATCAATTATGATATTGTCTACTATGCTAGGAACTAAAAACTATAAATAAGACACAGTTTCTGCACAAATGGCAGGTTACCACATTCCATGTGTCACAGATGTACATTAAAGTCTAAAATTTGAAAATACACATTTATAATATTCAATTCTTAAAAATTCCAAATGAGATACTACAAATATTCCTTCTAGGGACCAGGGCTCTTTCTTTTTGCATAGCAAGAAGTCATTTTGATATTGTTTAAATGCTCTTCACAAAGCATATATAAGATAAATAAGTTAGCTGACTAATCTATCCATCATGCTGTACTCAGTCGTGTCCAACTCTTTGCAACCTTATGGACTGCAGCTCATGGGATTGTCCTGACAAGAATACTGGAGTGGGTTGCCATTTCCTCCTCCAGGGGATCTTCCCAACCCAGGGATCAAACTCCCATCTCCTGTGTCTCCTGCATCACAGGTGGGTTCTTTACTGCTGAGCCACAGAGGAAGCCCAATGGCTCATAAAAATCTTTATATCTGGTATATAAAACACATTTTTCTAAATTCAGGATGAGTACAGTTAAATGATAAAAATGTAAAAGAAATTAGCTATTATTACAAATCAGTTTATTTTGAACAATTACTAACTGCATTTACTTATATGAGCCAATTACACTAACACTACATGAATGCTAGCTCAACGATATGTAATGTCATTAAAATCATATCCATCTAATTTTATCCTTCAAACAAACCACTCCTAACAGCCATATTACCAATTTTATATATATTTTTCTCAGCTTTTTCTTAAGTTTAAGCAAATACAAGAATACACACAGGACTAAAAGTATACATGCTATTACTTCTCTGGGATAAATATCTAGAATTGGAATTTCTGGACCAAAATATGTCTGTCAAATTTTCCCTTATTCTAGGCTTCCCATTATCTTAGGAAAGTCTCCCAGAAGTAATAAAAAACTGTTTCCCCAAATTTTCTTCAAATGCCTTAGCTTCAATTTTTAACATTGGTTATTAATTCAGTAGAAGCTTATTTATAAATGTGACATGAGCAGTGAGTGCTCTATTATTACTTTCTTCCAGATGGAAATCTAATTCTCCCACATTGTATTTAACAATGATGCATCCTTTCTCCACCAATTTGAATTGATAATTCCTTATACATTAAATGTGTGTTATTGTAACCTGCTTTGAGGTGTTTCATTCTTTTTTACTGGTCAACTTAACCCATTCCTATTCCAGAACTGTCAACTACTAGAAGTAGGCACTAGGCCCAGATTGTGATAAAGGAAAGTTCTATTTAAAAAAAAAAAAAAAAGATATTTCTGTCCTTGAACATGTATTAAAAAATCACTTAATTCATTTTCTACAATGCTGACATACCTATAATGTCAAAATCTGATATGTATGGCACATATGGAGAAAAATATTAGCCATACTTAGGAATATAGATGCAAATATCCTAAAGATTTATAAGTCTAACAACATAAAATAATATGCCATCATGATAAAATGAACTTATCCCAGGAACACAAGCATAGTGCAACAATAGGAAACCTACCAACATCATTAATTACATTAATATATGAAAATGCAGAACTGTTTCTATACCAAAAATTTTTTCAAAAAATTCAAGTTATCCCTGAATCAATCAACCTAAACATAATAAGAATATCAGAATCGAATACCAAACATATTAAATGCTGAAGTACTAACACAATTTCTGTTAAAATCAGGGAGATGCCAATTTTATCCATTTTTATTTAAAACTTATAGGATCTAACTTATGAAATAAGTGCTTTTAAAGCAATAAATAGATCAGAAGAGTCAAAATTATCATAATTCTATAGATATGACTATACATCTAGAAAATCCAAGAGGGTAAATAACAACCAGAATTAGTTGGACCACTTAACAAGGTTGCTTGAAATAAACAGAATAACTCGTACTGTAATCAAACTAAACAATGTCAGTTAAATATTTATAATCAAACTAAACAATGTCAGTTAAATATTTATCATCTGTATTGTCACAGAGAAAATATTCACTGTACAAAATTAAATGTAAACCTAACGGTTTGGGGACTATTTACTACTTCAACCTTTATCAGCATCTGTCACTTTTCATTACTTCATGTTGCGGGGTTAGAAGATGGGGAAAGAAGAATACTAAAGGGTAGCATGAAACCAGTGAAAATATAAAAGCTCCTTTTAATCTACCAAGAACATCAAACCCTAGGAGTTATACCTTGTCCTGGGCCCTAGAGAGCTAAGGAAGCAGACATAAGCAACGAGAAGGGGAAGCTCTGATAGTCTTTGCCCAAATATACTCACTTACCAATCACTAAGGGACATGGAAGAAATTTCAGCTCAGGTCTAAGAAACTCAGGATAACACCCAAGGGATAATACCTGGGGACCCAGAAAACTAAATAAACTACAAGTATATTAGTTGAAAAACAGAAAGGATAGCCTGATCACAGCAAACATTCATGTACATATAAGAATTAAAACTACAGTTAAACTGAGAAAAGATCTAGAAGAGAATGCAAGGCATATTAATAAAATAAAAAGCAAAAACAAAACTAAACCTCCAAAACATACAGAGGGTAAATTTAGGTGGCTATAAAGTGATATGGTTCAGAGCATGTGCTTTACAGTCTGGTAGAGCTACATCTCATTATATCTCTGCCATTTATTATGATCTTAGGTAAGTCAAGTCAGTTCATATCAATTAACATTACTATTTTTTCTGTATTTGAAGACACAGATGGTTCAAAAATATCAAGATGGTTTCAGGTAGTCTAAATAAAGATCAATCAACACAATATAGTATTAGAGCTGTAAAAGACTTAAAGTATCCTATACCTAAATGAACCTAAAATGCATCCTGGAAATTGATTTTTAAAAATCACTAGCATTGGTCTATTGATCTGGGTGATAAGCTATTTAAACGAACATAACAACAACAACAGAAACTACAGAGCAGAAAAAGTCAAAGTACTCCAAACTTTAATTAGCTGGATTCAAGTACTAAACTGTTATTTCCTTCTAAATCTGTCTTTAAAAAAGTTAACCTACCTTTTTTCTTATATTTCCCCAAAGTAGGAATTTATAAGAAATGCTTAAATGCAAAGACTTTATTTTGAAGCTTTACCTTTGTGCACTATATAATGGGGGCTGCTTCCCAGGTGGCGTTAGTGGTAAATAATCTGCCTGCCAATGCAGGAGCCATAAGAGATAGGGGGTTCCATCCCTGGGTCGGGAAGATCCCCTGGAGGAGGGCATGGCATTCTTGTCTGGAGAATCCCATAGACAGAGGAGTCTGGCAGGCTATAGTCCATAGGGTCACAAACAGTCGGACCTGACTGAAGCAACTTAGCGCACACACACTATTTAATATGCCTGTCTAAAGCAATGTCAAATTACTCTCATTTGTGTTTTCTAGGTGAGGTGTCAAAAAAAGTGCTTCACATTTTATATGGTACATTTACCAAGTGAAAATAAAGGGATATATTCATAACTGGAAGTAAATATATTCTGGACAATTATAAGTAATGTAATAATGATAGTATAGAAGCAATTACAGTACAAAACAACTCTGAAAGAAAAGAACTTGCTTGCAAGGAAGAAATTCACACTGGTCAATTTTTGCTTACATAGTTATTCTTTCTATATTACCGAAAATGTTCTAATGAGAGGAAGTGTCTGCTCCCTCTCCACTACCATCCCCCATTACCACTCCCTTCCTGCAAAAGGAGAGGACCCATACTTAATGACAAATGCTACTGATAAAGATATACATGTAATGATAGGGGGAGAAGAGAATTCAAAACCACTGTCCTGGAATAAATAAAACCCTTACCAGGAAATCTTAGATTTAAATGTGAAAATGCTCCAGATTAAATCACATCTCCCTTAACACATAATATATAACCTATTTTTGCCAAAAAATCATTCTGATCCTACTATAATCTAAATTAGCATTTTCAGTAAGGAATATTCTGTACAGATCCCTGAGTTGTTAACTGAGAAGGAAAGGAAGGAATGGGTTGACAAACAATGAAATTTCCATCAGCTCTGATGCTTCTTTCCTTTCTAGGACAATGTAGACAGAGCTAAAAGGAGTGGCATGGCCTATATGCTGCCCCTTCCACTTCTGCTGCTGCAAAGTTGAGATCGAGGCTTGCAATGAGCTAGGAATAATCCTTGCTCACATGAATCTCTGGCTCTTCCATCACTGACTTCATCACACATTATTTTATGCCCTGCATGTGTGTAGGTGAAAAATCATATGAAATTTTGAAAATATCTTTTTTAAAAGTAAAGCATAAGATTTTCATAATCTTGGGGGGAAAAAAGAAAACAGGAAGGCCAAGTTAACTACCTATTAGAATAAAAATATTTATTCAGAAGGATATAAAATCAAAGTCTCTATACTGTATCATTCATAACATCCAACATCCAATAGCACAATAGGAAAATATGACCCACATAGAGGAAAACAGGCAGCCAACAGAAATTAAACCTCAGATGACTGAGAAGTTGCAAATGAAATGCTGACTGAATAATACAATGTAGCAAAAAGTTTAATAAATCAATGGGAATATCCAGAAGATGACATAAATCACTGTGGCATCTACCACAACAATGAACTGTGCTAGAACACTGGTCTCATCATCTTTGACTCTTTCAACACATAACATTGTATGCTTGTAGTTTTTTAATTTAATTTAAAATGTTTTTACTGTGCTTGTCATCATAGACATGACCCTAAGGGATTTGTTTGAAAATCTATTTTAATGACATCCGGAACTAAAATTAGTATAAATAAAAAAACCATCAGAATTTAAAATAAAATAATAATAATAATCAGCAGAATTTGCAGAGGACCTAGGATTCAATCCCTGTCATTTGGACTCCAGTGAATTCTCTCACTAATGGGTGTCCTACTTCTTCTACATTTACTTTTACTATTTTTTTACATATACAGATGGCACACATTGTTATGAGTGAAACCTAGAGTTGACAGGAAACAATTTTTCAAAGTGTTTTTTTTTTCACTGTAGTACAAAGGGAGTATTTTAGTAACATGTCATGATCCTTTAATACTTATAGTTTCTGATCAAATAATTTCCTTTCTACAGTTTATATCATAGCAACAAAATAATGGTAGACTTCTAAGACATTCACACAGTTTTTAATCACATTTAATGACACTATAATTTGGGACAGTGACAAAAGTTAAATATTAAGATAATGCTTAAATTATGATATATTAATATTAGGAGAGTGGACAAGTAGAGAGACATTAGTGTGGTCTGCAGATTTCTAAAATGACCCTTCCCCAAGATTTCCTGCCCTAATCCCCAGGACTGTGAATGCGATATCATACCCATGATTGTGTTTGGTTATATGGCAAAATAAATGTTGCACCTATTTTTAAGTTTACATATCAGTTTATCCATATCAGTTTATCCTGAGTTAATTAACTGGAAGATAACGTACATGGGTCTGATCTAATCAACAAATTCTTTAAGCAGAGTTTTCTCAGTTGGTCACCAAGGAGAAATTAGATGCAAAGCAGGAGGAAGGTCTGTTGGGCCATGCTGGCCTTGAAGATGAAGTTCAGAACTGAAAAATGCCCTCCAGTAGCTGAGAGTAGCCTTGGCCAATAGTCAGCAGGAAAACAAGCCCTCCGACTACAAGGAAGCAAATTCTCCATAAAAACTGAAATGATCTTGTAAGTGGATATCCCATGACACCCAGGTCAGGGCCCAGCCTGACACTTGGATTTGTCTCGTGAAACTCTCAACAGACAACTAAGTCAAATCTGCCCAGACTTAAAAACTGTGAGCTAATAATGGGTATTGTTCTAAGCTGCTAGAATAAAAAATTAAAAAATAATAGTAAGTAGTAGCATGGTGTTTGACAAATGGCATAAAATAATAATTTATGATTTAAATTAAACTTCATGAAGACTCCTAAAAAAATGTTAGGCTAAGTTACACACATATACAACTACAATTTTATCTTCACTTGTTCAAAAACTTTCAAATTCTGTCAAATATTTTCTTGAAACAAAACCTACCTTCACTGATGACTGAAAGGTTCTGATCACTTGAATTTTCTGTCAACATCCATGCTGGGAGGATTCTTTTCCTCTGGGAAGGATTTGGCTGTTGCTGACTTGAGTCTCTACTTTCACCTATGAAAGACTAAAAGGCACCTATATATTAATTGCTAAAAATAATCCTGAATCCTTAATGAAACTTCACAGCGATTTACTTTGAAGAAAGCTACCATTAAAAAAACCCATCTGCAGCTGTGGACTGAATTAGTTAAATTTCTCAAAGGAAGAAATTCAACATTTCTATTAGCTGAAGGGTTGGTCTAGTGTGACCTTCTCTAGAGCTTTACTTAAAAACAGGAAAAGCAGGTCAACGCTAGCAATTTTGTCAAGATATGTCTAATATCAGTTGTCTTCTCTCCTCAATACAACTTAAGTAACATGTTATAAATGGTTAAGATCTTAAATTTCTTACCACATTATTTGCAGTGGTCTGGGTCTTTGCTGTTTCTATGCTTCTTCCCAGTTGTGGGGCACTGGGTTTTTTATCGGGCAAATCAACTGAGGAAGATTTTGGTGTTTCATTCAATATATCATCTTCATCAAGAATTTGACTATTTCTATAAGATACAATTGAAATTCATTTATTAATCATTTAAACTGAAAACACTTCTATTGCGTACCGTGACATTATGTGATTCTCCTAAGTATATCTAACTAATGAGTTACGCTACTTTTATCAGACTTAGGAGGACAAAAAGCAGATTATAGTATACCAGAATAAAATACATAGACTAGAATATGTTCTTCATGTTCTGCCCACTGTATCACCATCACATTAATCTTCCCAAAGCACGGGCCTAGAAACCACAGCTATTTATAAGACGGGCAGTAGCCATCTCTATGAAGGATGAAGAGCTACTTACTTATTTAGTAAATAGGCAAATAAGTCCAGATTGTCTAAAAAGGTTAAGATCACCTACAAGTTTCCAAAGAGAAAATGCAAACTGTAAGAACATCAGTTAAACTAGTTAGGCTCTTGAAGAAAAAACAAAACACTGAGGTCAAGTTCACACACAGCTGCTACTGAGGTCCTGGCCATTACAGCCACTTGTGAAATCTCCCAACTTGTAGTCCAACAAAGGAGCATCCAAGGTCATATATGGAACATACTAGCAGAACTAACTGCCTCTTACTTGCTGCAAAGTGTGGTAAGATTATCCAAAGTTCTAATTCATTATTCTTTATGTATGCATAGACAGGAATCAACAAACTTATCTTTCTGACAATTTGAAAATGTAGATGGAAATACTACTCAGAAATAAAAAGGAAAAAAGTACTGATTATGCAACATCTTCGGAATTTCAAAGGCAGTTTGCTAAGTGAAAGAAGCCAGACACAAAAGTATGTATCATATGAATCCATTTATGTGGCATTCGGAAGGGGTAAAGCTGAAAGGACAGAAATCAGATCAGTAGTCACCAGAAGCTGGGGTGGGGGAGAGGAATGACCACAAAGAGGCAAGATGGAATTTGGGGGGGAAATTAAAATGTTCTATATCTCATTGTGGTTCTTAATGTGACTATACAAATTTGTCAAACTACATCGAATTATACATTTAAAGGGGGTAAATTTTACTATGTGTAAAATGTTTCTCAGTAAAAGGGAAATTTTAAAAATTAAAGATATAAGATTTTTAAAATTTGTCTAGCTGAGAATAATTAGTGGCTTATCTTATTTGTTTTGTGTTATTGCCTAGTAATAACCTCCCTCAAAGGCAGACTTGAATTCATGGCAGGAATCAGCCAAAAAAAAAATTTGACTAAGTTTCTGTGTAACACTACAGTTTTTGTTCACTGAATAAATATTTTAAAAATACCGAATGTATGTTAGATACTACGCCAGGTACAGGGGATTCGGAATTGAAAATGTATGATTGTTTTACCCATAAAACTGCACTCCCACAAAATATTCAAATCTTTTACTCACAACACAGAGGTGTGCTTCCAAATTCTAATTTTTTCCCTCAAATTTTATTAACATTTATTTTATTTGAAAAATATTAAGAAACACTCTAGAGAAATGCTATGACTTTTCACAACTTACAGAGTTAGAAATTGAGCAACATCATCCATTCCATTTCTAGTTTTTCTATTCTGGCATAAATCCACTAATATACATCCTATGGCCATAGGGAAATTTTTTAGTATTTACCAAGAATAAACATAACAACAAAAAACCCAATCCCCCCAAAAATTCTATTTAACATTTAGTTCCAAATAGGTCAAAGTACAAATGATTTTAGTACACTTTTATTTAAATATAAATACTGCCACTGTAACATGAACATCTTCCTATTTTTAGCTTCAAATATTAATACTTCCTCGAGCAATCAACTATCACAGATTTATAATACAGTGAACTAGAATTTGTTAAAACTTAAAAACTTGGAATATAATAAACAAAGATAAATGAGTTCTCCTTTTCTTTGGCAACAGCGATCAAGACATAATTTACATAGTCATGAAATTCATGCTTCTAAAGTATAAAATTTAGTAGTTTAGTATATTCACAAAGTTGTACAATCATCACCAATATCTAATTTTGGAATATATTCATTGTCTCAAAAAGAAATTCCATATGCATTCAGTTCAGTTCAGTAGCTCAGTCGTGTCCCCATGAATCGCAGCATGGCAGGCCTGCCTATCCATCAACTCCCGGAGTTTATTCAAACTCATGTCCATCAAGTTGGTGATACCATCCAGCCATCTCATCCTCTGTCGTCCCCTTCTCCTCCTGCCTCCAATCCCTCCCAGCATCAGGGTCTTTTCCAATGAGTCAACTCTTCGCATCAGGTAACCAAAGTACTGGAGTTTCAGCTTCAGCATCAGTCCTTCCAATGAACACCCAGGACTGATCTCCTTTAGGATGGACTGGTTGGATCTCCTTGCAGTCCAAGGAACTCTCAAGAGTCTTCTCCAACACCACAGTTCAAAAGCATCAATTCTTCGGCGCTCAGCTTTCTTCACAGTCCAACTCTCACATCCATACATGACCACTGGAAAAACCATAGCCTTGACTAAGATGGACCTTGTTGGCAAAGTAATGTCTCTGCTTTTTAGTATGCTATATAGGTAGGTCATAACCTTCCTTCCAAGGAGTAAGTGTCTTTTAATTTCATGGCTGCAATCACCATCTGCAGTGATTTCAGAACCCCCAAAAATAAAGTCTGACACTGTTTCCACTGTTTCCCCATCTATTTCCCATGCAGTGATGGGACCAGATGCCATGATCTTAGTTTTCTAAATGTTGAGCTTTAAGCCAACTTTTTCACTCTCCTCCTTCACTTTCATCAAGAGGCTTTTTAGTTCCTCTTCACTTTCTGCCATAAGGGTGGTGCCATCTGCATATCTGAAGTTATTGATATTTCTCCCAGCAATCTGTCTTACTGTAGCTATCCTAATGAATGTGAAATGGGAGCTCATTGTGGCTTTCATTTACATTTCATGTTGAGCATCTTTTTTCATGTGCTTATTGGCCAGTTGGGTAACACCTCTGAAGAAAGGTCTACTCAAGTCCATTTTGCAAATTGGGTTCTCTTATTACTGAATTATAAAGGTTCTTTATATATTCTGGATAGAAGTCCCTTATCAGATACGTGACTTGCAAATATTTTCTCTCATTCTGAGGGCAATCTTTTTACATTCTTGATGACATCCTTAGAAGTACAGAAGTTTTTAATTGTGATAAAGTCCAATTTATCTAGCTTTTTGCTTGCTTGTGCTTTTGGTGTTATATCTAAGAAATCATTGCCTAATCCAAGTGTTTTTTCCTACGGATTTCATAGTTTTAGCTCTTTTAGTTAGGTCTCTGATCTATTTTTATATGGTGTGAGGTAGGAGTATTTTGCATTTGTCTCAGCACCATTTGTTATTCTTTTCTCCATTTAATTGTTTTGGCACTCTCATTGTAAATTAATTGGCCATAGTGCAAGGGTTTATTTCTGGACTGTCAATTCTATTCCATTGATCCATATATCTTTCCTACACAAGTATCACACTGTCTCGATTACTGTAGCTTTGTAGCTGGTTTTGAAATTGAGAAGTGTGAATCTTCCAACTTTTTTCCTCTTTTTAAAGACTGTTTGGAAGTCCAGTACTTGCATGCTGCAACTACTGAAGCCTATGCACCTAGAGCCCGTGGTCCGCATCAGGAGGAGCCACCGCAGTAAGAAGACTATGCACTAAAACTAACAGCAGCCTGCACTCACTGGAACTAGAGAAAGCCTACACACAGCAATAAGACTCAGCACAGCCAAAAATAAATATATAAATAGTTTTAGCTCAGCAACAATAAAGATTGTTTTGGCAATTATTTTTAAAACTATAGTCTGTTATATTTAAATATAAGTTATACATTTTGTCTTTAATACAAAATATATTAATATGAATGAGCTAGACCTAAAAGTTTAAAATAATTATAAATAAATTATAAACATGCCTGTTTTCATACTACAATGGCATTTTCATCAACATTTCATTATTTTGTCCAAAATTAAATAGTGATTAAAAGTAACTATTTAAGTGGAAACTAAGTATTAAGCACTTTAACAATTTGAAAGAAAAAATAATTTGGTACAAATGATTTACTTTCCTTTCCTCAACAGTGTTTTAAAGAAAACAGTCACTCCAGAGAGAGAATGTTGTACTTGCTTACCAACAATGAGATTCAGATGAGGAAAATATTATAAAGTATTTCATTCATGTATTCAAGAAACCAAGAAGGAGAAGGGGGCAACAGAAGATGAGATGGTTGGATGTCATCATCAACTCAATGGACATGAGTTTAAGCAAACTCTGGGAGATAGGGAAGGACAGAGAGGCCTGGCGTGCTGCAGCCCATGGGGTTGCAAAGAGTCGGACATGACTGAGCAACCTAACAACAAAATGGCTGCTAAGCACCCACTACTGGGAAGGCAACAGGAATGCAAAATTAATGTTGGCCCTTCTATATGGAATACGTCATAATTTAATTGAACTAAAATATAAAACTTTTTTTTCACTTTCTCTTAGAGTTGTGAAAAAAGTAAAGCTTTTCATACAATAATTTCAGAGAAGCATATATAGAGTGAAAAATGAACACACTAGAGCTAATGTATATATACCCATAAGCTCTAAGTCAGTTATGAATGGGCTTTATTTATACAGAATCTAAATACTACTTGAAAAGCATGCTGACAGGAGTAAAATGAGAACTTGAAGAAACGACAAGATTCTGCACTGTTATTTTGCTCTTCAAACCTCTTTCTTAAATTCATAGCTGGTTGGAAGAAAAAGTTTATAATGAAATCAGGGTCCTTATAACTTACACAAAGCACATAGGTTTTCTATTCTTATTCAAATTTTAAAATATTTCAACATGTATTATAAAAGTATAGAGAGATTAACTGGACTGAGGTATCCCAGAGGTCCACATCTCCACACCCAACTGCCTGCAAACTCTACTGCTGGAAACCTCAAGACAAAGAACTAGTAAGACAGGAACACAGTCCCATCCATCAAAAACAAACAAACAAAAAAAGACTATATATATATATATATGTTACAGATGAAGGAGCAAGGTAAAAAACTACAAAACTTAACACATGGAGAGGAAACAGGGAACCTATCAGAAAGAATTTAGAGTGATGACAATAATGTCATCTGCAAATAAAGACAGTTTTGCTTTTTTCTTTTCAATAGGATGCCCTTTGTTTCTTTTTCTTGATTTACTGGATTGGCTAGGACCTCCAATAAACGGATATCTCTGTTTTGCCCCCAACAGTAGGGAGAGAACTTTCCAATACTTCACTATTAAGTATTTTTTTATAGGATGGAAACTTCCTTTTTTTCCTAGTTTTCTCTAAGGTTTTTAAAACTTAATCATGAACATGTATTAAATTTTTGTCACAACTGCTTTTATGCATCTACTGAAATGACAGTTCTTTAATCTGTTACAGTAAATTTCATTGATTGATTTTTATATGATAAACTCACCTTGCAGTTCTCAAATTTCACTTGGTCTTTTTACACATTGCTGGTTGTGACTTGTAAATATTTTCTTATAAGGAATTTGGGTCTATATTTACTTCTTTTGTAATGTTCTTATCTGATTTTGCTATTAGGATTATAAAAGCATCATAAAATGAATGGTGAAGCGTACTCTCTTCTATTTTGGAGAAAAAAGTATAACAGTGGTATTACTTATTCCTTTTCAGTTAAAAAGAATTCACTGGTGAAGTTCCTTGTGGGAAATTCTTAAATTAGGAGCTCAATTTCTTTAATGAATACAGGATTCATCAGACTTTCTATTTCTTCCTGTGTCAGTTTTTGTAAATTTTGTTTTTCAAGAAATGTTATGTATTCATTTAGGCCATCAATTTTACTCCCATAGAATTTTAAATAATAATTTCTTCATTATTCTTTCAAGCTCTGCAGGGTCAGTAGTGATACCCCCTGTTCCATTTCTGGTATTGATAATTTGTTTTCCAGCTTTTTTTTTCCTTAGTAAGCCTTACTAAGGTCTTATCAATTTTATTAGTCTTTTCAAAGAACTAACTTTAGGCTTTGTTGATTTTCTTTGTTATTTGTCTATGTTCTATTCACAGATTTCTAGTCTTATTTTTCTTATTATTTCCTTCTTGGGATTAATTTACTCTTGATTGTCTATCTTCTAAAAGTAGAAGCATACAGCATTCATTATATAGCTTTCCTCTCTCCTAATAAAAGCATTTAATATAAATTTTCCTCAAATGCTTACTGTCATAAATGTTTCTGTTATGTTTTCAGTATTATTTTGTTCAAAATGTTTCCTAATTGCCCTTGAGATTTCTCTTGGACCCATGGGCTACTTGGTACATGCTGCTTAATTTCAAAATATTTGAAGATCTTCCCAGATATTGTATTTTTATTGATTTTTAATTTAATACCAGTGCAATCAAAGAATATACTCTATATAATTTTGCCCACCTACTTCTATAGGTCCAGTTTAAATATTCTATAATTTAAAAGCTAAACAAAGGCAAATAATCTGCTAATGACTGCCTCAATAAAACTCACTGCATTAATTATAACTTTACATCAGCTATTTATTGTAATACCTCATTTCATCAGTTTCCCTATTTTATATTTTCTGTTATTCTTATAAGAAAGAGGAATTACACAAGTATAGTCTAAACCAGAGGTTAATATCTTAAGAAAATTTTTAAAGTTAAAAAAAGAAAAGATTAAGAAAATATAGTTTCACCAGCCCAGGTTGGATGCATGAGACAAGTGCATCCCTGGTGCACTGGGAAGACCCAGAGGGATGGGGTGGAGAGGGAGGTGGGAGGGGGACCGGGATGGGGAATACATGTAAATCCATGGCTGATTCATTTCAATGTATGACAAGAACCACTGCAATGTTGTGGAGTGATTGGCCTCCAACTAATGAAAATAAATGGGAAAAAATATATATATATATAGTTTCATATTAATTATCCTGATTATTATTTGATGGAAAAAGCATTCTAAACATAATGTTTGCAAAAGATGCAATATATAGAAGCAATCACTACTGAGGCATAAGTTTCCAAAACCAACTGTTTTCTAGAAACACATTCACACACACACACATCAAGAAAGAACTACATCGCCACCATATTTATAAATTCTAGAGTGGTTTCAACTGAAGCTTTTGTGGATGACTCAGGAATTAGATTACAAATATCATTACTTTAATCACACTTCATCAGGCAATCTTACCTTAAAGTACACTCCATTTCCATTTCAGAATGTGTAGACAAGACACAGAAAATGTATTTGTCAACTAAGAAGGAAAAACGATCTCCAGGATTCAACCAGCACCACGTATTTGTCTTCAATGGTAAGAACTGGCTCTTCTCAGAAGACTGATAAAAACATGGATTTGTGTGTAGCTAACAAATTTAAAAAACAGAATACAGTGGTGTTATAATTCAAAATCATGACAAAAATACAACTAAGTATGAATGGATTCAAAATTTTAGTGTGAAAACAATTTTAAGTATAAATTTACACTGAAAAGTCTAATAAATTTGACACTTCAAGGAACCATATAATTATAATCTAACCATACAAAAAAATAGTTTTATTATACTTCTGATTTCTCTAGGAATCAAAGAAAAAAGCAAAGTTATTAATTAACTGGTTAAAAGATACTTTTCTTGAGAGATGACTGGACACTGGAAAGAGAAACATGAAAAATAATTATCAGTATGGAAATTGCGTCCCCCAATTTTTATCCAAAATTCACTAATCCCTTGAAAATTCTTTTCTGTTTATTTTCCCCTAAGAATTACTATAATTAAAAAATGAGAATCTATGGGAAGGAAAATTCTGACCAAATATCTCAAGCAAACAGCATACCTTCTTTTAAAAAAAAAATCCTCACAGAAGAATCTTATTTTGTTTCAATGAAACTCCCCTCTGAAGATCACCATCCATATTCAAATTGCAAGAAGCAAATATATATCACTGTCAAAACTATTACAATAGTCACTATTTTGAATTATGTTTCCACGAATTACCTCATGATAGCAAAGACAACGAGAGCTGCCTCCGTAACTAAGACCTATTGAAAGGCATCTTAAAAATTCTAACTAGAATCAAACTGAAAGTAGCCATTTCCAGATAGCCTTCTTGTCATCCATACGACTGGGTCTTTTAAATAAATAAGCTTTAGCATATAACAAAGCAATCCACATTAATGCAGATTTTCTTTTTTTTTTTAAGAATTTTATATAGAGCAGCTCCCCCTACCACCCATCTGTCTACTTTATCAGTTTAAATGACATTTTTTTCTGGTGACATCAACCATCTCTCCAGCACAGCGACATAAACATCACCTTGAGATTGACATATGCTGAACATTCTCAATTTTTCTATTTATAATTCATTAATGCAGAAAGTGAAGAGGAACTAAAAAGCCTCTTGATGGAAATGAAAGAGGAGTGAAAAAATTGGCTTAAAGCTCAACATTCAGAAAACTAAGATCATGGCATCTGGTCCCATAACCTCATGGGAAATAGATGGGGAAACAGTGGAAACAGTGTCAGACTTTATTTTTGGGGGTTCTGAAATCACTGCAGATGGTGATTGCAGCCATGAAATTAAAAGATGCTTACTCCTTGGAAGAAAAGTTATGACCAACATAGACAGCATATTAAAAAGCAGAGACATTACTTTGCCAACAAAGGTCCATCTTAGTCAAGGCTACGTTTTTTCCAGTGGTCATGTATGGATGTGAGAGTTGGACTGTGAAGAAAGCTGAGCACCGAAGAATTGATGCTTTTGAACTGTGGTGTTGGAGAAGACTCTTGAGAGTTCCTTGGACTGCAAGGAGATCCAACCAGTCCATCCTAAAGGAGATCAGTCCTGGGTGTTCATTGGAAGGACTAATGCTGAAGCTGAAACTCCAGTACTTTGGTTACCTGATGCGAAGAGTTGACTCATTGGAAAAGACCCTGATGCTGGGAGGGATTGGGGGCAGGAGGAGAAGGGGACGACAGAGGATGAGATGGCTGGATGGTATCACCAACTCGATGGACATGAGTTTGAGTAAAACTCTAGGAATTGGTGATGGACAGGGAGGCCTGGCGTGCTGCGATTCATGGGGTCGCAAAGAGTCGGACACAACCGAGAGACTGAACTGAACGCATCTTGAGACAGAGGCATATTTTCATTCATACATCAAAACATTTTCTGACCCCAACCATTTAAACTATCTACAGGTGTTAAGATATGTCTTATTCACCGTTGAGTTTGAACAGACTTGAACTGAGTATAAATTAAAAAGGTAAAATCTTCTGTTACTACTGTAAAAAGTATTAATTAGAGAAAATTAAGGAAGCTTATAATAGGCTTCTTTTTAAATGTATTTTCAAGTTCTAGAAATGCATTGGTATTTTTTTCTTTTTACCCCTCAAAAATTTTCTTTCCATTGGGAAACTCAGTTTAAAATTTTTATTAAATATAGTTATTTTCTTTTTTAAAAAATCTTAATCATTTATGGAATACAAACTAAGTAAAATATAAGTAAGTTTAGAATATTATTATAAACATGAAGCAAATACTGTTATTAACTTTGGTATATTACTTTGCATTATATTTTTCATTTGTTTTTATTTTTTAAAAATGTCTATTTCCACAGAAAAAGAACAGGGTATTTAAACGGTAAATATATTCTGATTTAGTTTCTATATTAAGCCACAGCAAAATATCCACAAACTTTTACTGAACATCTATAACCTTTTTCATTCCATTCAAATGTAAGTTCCAGATCATTTATCTCTATAAAGTATACCAGGTCCATTTCTCTTTACCATTTGCAGTCATGGCCCTAATTCAAGCTCTTACCCACTGTGTGCATTTCTTACTTGCGCTAACATCACATCAAGTCTCCCAGTCTTCTATCACCTTACTGCTTCCCAGGTTACTTTTTACATTTTTCTACATAAGCCCTCTGAGGCTTCTCCAATATAAAAAAGCATAGAAATGAAGGATCTTCATAAACCTACAAAATTTCCAACCCCAACTTCCACCTTCATATACCAAAATCTTTGCCCTATACATAGAATCTTTGATCCAATCATTAAGACCTACTCAAAAATGCTCTGTTGTTTACTACAGCCTCAGTAATGTCTTATCCCAACCACATTTCTGCTTGAACTATTAGAACCAGTTTCTACTAGTCAAAGATTACCTATAATCATCTGACAAATCACCACTAGACTCTAAGATCCCTGGGCACAGATAATTATCAACCACAGTTCTAACAGTCAATGATTAAAATGACTATAGGAGTCTCTAGTAGTAGGAAGAATCAATGATATTTCAACCATCAGTCATTAAACGAATAATCTCAGGAATGGTTCCAAATAGTTTACTATAAGAAGTGAGGCTGGAAATCCAATGTACTTACTAAAAATGCTATCTGTTGAGTCACTTAAATAGATTCACCCCTAAAATTGGCTAGTTCCATTTTCTACAAGATACCATATTGTATGATTTTTAAAAATTATAATCTATACAATTAGGTAAACTAAATTTTAAACAGAATCCACTTTCATCCTCTAAAAAGCTCCTGGTGGCCAACAGCTCAGCACAAAAGCTTACTAGCTTTCAAAATCCCAAGAAAATCACACAAGTAACATTAGCTGTAACTTCATATGACTTCATCTGATCAAATACCATAATATACTTTTAAGTTAACCACAAAATCATAGAATTTGGGTAGAGGAATCAGAAAGTATTTAGCTAAATTGGGAAAGAAAGTGACTACATTTTAGAAGCTAAACCATCCAAACAGTACATTTAACCCAGGCCTGTGGCTAGTGTGGGGGGTGGGGAGTGGGGGAGTAGAGGGGTAGGTAGCGTGGGGAGCAGACCTACTACAGGATTAGGAGTATTAAAGTAAAACTGCCAGGAAAATAAGCACTGCTACCTATAAGCTCAATTTTAAAAAAAGAAAAAACTCTGAAAGCTGCAAGGAATACAATTTATCTAGTTCCAGCAACTGAATTTCATGAGGATCTAGCCTTAAGTCCTTCCCAGGTGTATCTGCAAGGGGAAATATTTCTATTTCCTGTCTATGCTGAAAAAGATTAAAAAGCAGTAAAATAAAATTTGGAGGAAAGGACAGAATTAGAAATTAAAAATAGAGGATATATAAATTTGGTGTGTGTGTGTTAGTCGCTCAGTCATGTCTGACTCTTTGCGACCCCCTGGACTGTAGCCCACCAGGCTCCTTTGTCCATGGGATTCTCCAGACCAAGAATATTGGAGTGGGTTGCCATTTCCTTCTCCAAGGCATCTTCCTGACCCAGGGATTGAACCCAGGTCTCCTGCATTGCAGGCAGACTTTACTGTCTGAGCTACTAGCTGCTGCTGCTGCTAAGTCGCTTCAGTTGAGTTCGATCTGTGCGACCCCATAGACGGCAACCCACCAGGCTCCTCCGTCCCTGGGACTCTCCAGGCAAGAATACTGGAGTGGGTTGCCATTTCCTTCTCAAATTCATGAAAGTAAAAAGTGAAAGTGAAGTCGCACAGTCATGTCCAGCTCTAAGCGACCCCATGGACTGTAGTCTACCAGGCTCCTCCATCCATGGGATTTTCCAGGCAAAAGTACTGGAGTGGGTTGCCATTCCCTTCTCCTCTGAGCTACTAAGGGAAGCCCTCAAATTTGGTAAGTAATTATTTCACTGGGCTTCCCTTGTGACTCAGCTGGTAAAGAATCCGCCTGCAATGTGGGAGACCTGGATTTGATTCCTGGGTTTTGGGAAGATCCTCCTGGAGAAGGGAATGGCTACCCACTCCAGTATTCTGGCCTGGAGAATCCCACGGACTGCATAGTTCATGGGGTCGCAAAGAGTCGGACACAACTGAGCGACTTTTACTTTATTTCACTGGGTCAGAGTCATTTTACAAACTATAGTAATATAAAATTTTACAAACAAGATGGCATAAGAATAGAGAATGCAGTGTAATTTATGCAACATTATATTCCTAAAAAGAGCTGTGAATGATATTTTCTAAGGTATAATTGAACTTAACCTTTCATTATGTTATCAGCCACCCCTAATTTCTCTCTCAGTGTGGCACTCTGGCATATGGTTAGAGCTTTTGAGTGCGTTCACACGTTGCTGTAGAAATGTTCCCTGTTATTCCTCAGCCTTTTAAGTGAAGCCTCCCCTTTCTTGATATGTCATGGTCACCAGTAAGGAATGCTGGGTAGTGGGAAGGACAACAGTCAAAATACGAATATGCAGAGTTTCTGCCTGAACTCTGAGGTTTCCTTCTCATAGGTTAAGATAAGATGATGTTCATGAGTATTTGAAAAATTCAGATGAATCTCTAAACAATATTAAATAATGATACAGCCCTAAGTTTACAAAAGCTA